CACTCTTGTGGGATACTCTTGTCGGACACTCTTAAGGGACACTCTTGGGTCTTGAGCGACACTGTTGCGGGACACTCTTGTGGGACACTCTTGTGGGGCAGTCTTGTCGGACACTCTTGTGGGACACTCTTGTGGGACACTCTTGTAGAACACTCTTGTGGGGCAGTCTTGTCGGACACTCTTGTGGGACACTCTTGTGGGACACTCTTGTGGGACACTCTTGTGGGACACTCTTGTGGGACACTCTTGTAGGACACTCTTTTGGGACACTCTTGTGGGACACTCTTGTGCGACACTCTTGTGGGAAACTCTTGTGGGACACTCTTGTCGGACACTCTTGTGGGACACTCTTATAGGACACTCTTGTGGGACACTCTTGTGGGACACTCTTGTAGGACACTCTTGTGGGACACTCTTGTGGGTCACTCTTGTAGGAAACTCTTGTGGGACACTCTTGTGGGACACTCTGTGGGACACTCTCGTGGGACTCTCTTGTGGGACACTCTTGTAGGACACTCTTGTAGGACACTCTTGTGGGACACTCTTGTGGGACACTCTTGTAGGACACTCTTGTGGGATACTCCTGTAGGACACTCTTAAGGGACACTCTTGTGAGACACTCTAGCGGGACACTGTTGGGACACTCTTGTGGGACTCTCTTCCAGCTCCCCAGATACTCCGCGTACTAAAGTTGCACCCGGACAAATCGCACTCTCGCCTGCATTTCGCGCACTCGACACGCACGATCTCCGCAGAGGGTTGCGTGCGCATGGGGCAAATCGCACTCTCGTCTGCATTTCGCGCACTCGACACGCACGATCTCCGCAGAGGGTTGCGCGCGCATGGGTCAAATCGCACTCTCGCCTGCATTTCGCACACTCGACACGCACGATCTCCGCAGAGGGTTGCATTGCGCGTCAAGTCTCCAAAACGAGCGTTTCGTACGAGACTTCCTCCAAAAGTCTAGCGGAAACACCCATCGGAGCACACACATCACGCAGCCCTGCCAAGCAGTTTCGCGATTCCAGCCCCTCCAAACAACATCCGCTCACGCGCCAATCCCAATGTGACAGCGACATTCACCTCTACCACAACTCACAACCTCACGATTCCCTGCGCCTGCCACGAATCTTTCCCCATCCAAATCTAAGTTGGGGCATTTGGGGTTGTTGTTTCTTTGATTTGGGA